CAAATGAGGCAAAAGTCGGCGTCCACCTTGTGAGCGCAAGGAAGTCGCAAAGTCACAAAAGGGGAAGTCTCGCCTTTCCGTACGCCCGGGTGCCGCTCGGTCGGGCATGATGCCAGGGTCACCTTGGCGAGCGTAACCGAATCGCCGCTGGCTCTCGTACGCCCTCGCTCTCTTTCTCTCCCTTCCTCTCTGTCGAGTGGGGATCAGCCGAAATGTTTAGACTGTCTTATGTAAGCGCTCTCTCTCTCTCTCTCTCTCTCTCTCTCTCTCTCTCTCTCCCCCGTTTAGTTTTGCTCCCTTCACGTTGCCAATATGCAAAGTCGAGGGCAATATAAATAGATTCTGAGATGCTTGCGTGTGCTCGGTTGTGTAAATATTACAGTAGTGCTACTGTAACGTCAAGGATGGGTGAAGGTAACCAGCACGTTTGCACCAAGCAGTATGAGGGGGAAGGAACAAGAGAATAAGAGCTGGGTTTTTTTTTCTCCTCCAAAAATTGCAACCAATTTTTCTATGAAAGAATAAATACAATTGCAATTGGCTGGCAACCAGTCGAGGGTGTACGCCGCCTCGCACCCAAAGTCAGCCGGGAAAGACTCCAGATAAACCCGCCACCCTGATGAGGATAAGCGATATACAGAGGATGGATGGTTGGACTTGAAGGAATAAATAAGAGCAAAAAAAAAAAAAAAAGGCAGGAAGGAAGGACGGAAATACATAAGGAAAGAAAGGAAATAAAAAGGAAGGAAAAACGAAAGGATGAAATGAAGAAGAAAGAAAGTGGAGGGAGGAAGACAGAAAGCAAGGAAAAAAATTAAACTAAAAAGATTCCAAATAAAAATCAGCTGTTTTTGTTGAATAGTTTTTTTTTTTTTTCCGTGCAAAAATCCAACTTTTTCCTTGATTAAAATAAAAAAAGAAAACAAACAAGCCCCAAATTAAACCAGCAACCATCCGCAGCCCGACAAGGCATTTTCTACGCTCAGCAAAGTCTATCCGTCATTTTGTATCGTGGAGTGTGTAGCACAGGGAAATTTAAAAAAAAAAAAAAAAACAAGCCCCCAAACCCATCCACAACCCGACAAGGCAGCTTCTACAGCCATGTTGTCAGGCCCGAAGTGACTCTACTGTCCGTGATAGAGCGCCTTTGACTGCAAGATGTGATGAATCACTGGTGGGACTTCCCTGCTGCGAGCGCATTTTTTTTTTTTTTTCCTCCTCCCAGCGTGCAGATGACTTGAGGAAAAGCTCGAGGAGAAGTCACGGCCCAAAACATCTCTGTGTTACACTGGGCCTTTTTGGTTCTATTATTATCCTGCGTGGAAAGCAGCCCCCGCCGGTCGGTCTGAGAAGCGGCAGAAAACTGGGGGCCTTGTGTACTCGCACCGGTCGGGGGAAATAAACATCAGCTCCACCAGTTAGCTCTCTTTGTGTGTTCTCTTTAAGAGATGAAAGGACGCAGAAAACAATGAAGCGGTAGCTCTGGGCTTTCCGCGGGGAAGGAAGAAAAATAAAGGGAAGGGAAAAGAAGGGGGGAGAAGGGGGAAAAAAAAGGAAGCGGCGGGGCGAAGAATGAGACTTTTTTTTTGGATCTGTGTCGTCGGCTGTCGGAAATGGAGTTGAGACGTGACGAGGGTCGGGGGATAGGAAGATCGGGGTCCGAGTTGACAACACCGCAGGACGCTTCGGTCGTACGCGAGATGATGAAGGGGATATTTTTTTTTTTTTAGAGCCGTCGCGGGGCACCGCTTAGCAGCTCGGCCTTACAGTTTTGAGGTCCCGAGATTTGAATCGCGGATCTTTACTGCTGTGGCCGTTTCTGGCGTGTGCGTTATGTGCAGCAGGAAAAAAAAAAATAAACAAGCAAAGAAACAAATACATAAATAATGCGCTATTTGCGGCCCTTTACAAATGGATTTACAATATTTTGCTTCCTTGAGGACAAAAAAAGTGTCTCGAGTGAGGCTCGCTAGCTATTAGCCAGCAAAGTCTATCCAGGGACCGCGGTTGTCGTCATCCAAGAACTCAGCGACTCACTTTTGTGTTGTGTGTGGGTCTACAATCGACATAATATAGAGGGTCTCGTGGTCTAGCGGGCTAGTGATTTAGCGGGCTAGCTCGCTAGCTAGCGAGCGGACCGCTGGCCAGGTCGTCTGAAATGGCAGCGCTCCATACTTGAATAGCGAGTGAAATGGTGAAAAGGAGTCTTCAACAATTCAGTACGAAATTGTTCTCAGTCTTTGCAGATTTTCAGAACTTATGCTTAAACGGGTTCGAGTTTTATTAGCCTAAAAAGACACAAGCAACTGTGTACCATCCCCAAAATAACATGTTCAACAGACGAGTACACGACCAGTGCCTCAGAAAAAAACAGCTACAGACACAAATAAGTGGAAGCGACAAACTCATTTGAGCTGCGTGCTTACCCCGATGCTAAGCTAATGTCCAGGCTTTGATGGTTGGGTGGTGGACGGGGGAATGAATTCTATCTAAAGATAGCAGTACCTGGGATCATTTTTTGTCTGTTTGTTTTGTTTATGAATCCTCCCTTATCCTACCTGTTTATATCATTTGGATCAATTTCAGTTCCAGCAACAACGATGCACCAGCTGCCTAGTCAGGTAGCGGCTGGTGTTTAGTTTGGGGCTTTTTTTTTTTTTTTTTTTTAAATCTTTTTGTGCATAGTCACTGCAGCCTTGCCTGTCAACTCTGCTTTCGTAAGCGTGCAGTGAGTGACCTATATACCCCTCTAGGGGAGAGAAAGTCACCTTGCTCATGGACCGGCAGGCTGGCTGGCTGGCTGGCTGGCTCACTCTTAATGTGAGTCAGGACGCACGTGTTGTGTGTGTGTGTGTGTGCTTTTATTTTTTTTGTTCGTCTTTCGTCACAGTGCAGAGCGATTGGTTGCGATGTCAACGCCCGCAACGGTTTGATAAGGCCCGGCGTATGTTCGTATGTGTGTTCTGTAGATTAACATGCTGAAAAACATGGCTGGACATGGATTGGATTTGCGCACGCACACACACACACACACACACACACACACACACACTCACACACACTCATTCTCCACTGAAAACACACACACACACACACACACACACACACACACACACACACACACACACACACATTAGGGGAAATGACACGGCCCAGTGCCAGAGAGTCAGACAAACACCTCACCAGAGACTCCTCTAAGCGTCCTAACAAATTGAATGTGTGTGTAGATGGACGAGGGGGAATTAGATCAGCGCTCCTGATTGCATCCGAGTGCGCCGCCGACGCCGGGGCCCTTCCCAGCTTGGAGGAAATGTGAGCGAGACAGGGAGAGAGGGAGAGAGAGAGAGAGAGAGAGAGAGGTTGGCAGCTGCCTTGATGAAGGATGGAAGGAGAATGTTAACCAGACAATCACCTTGCATCTCATTGATTTAGATGGCAGAGAGGCAATTAGTGGAGAAAAGAAGAGGGAAGCTGAGGCCACTTTGGATGTTTTGATACAAGCTGTTCTCACCGTGTACCCATCTACATGCGTGTGCGCCCGCACGAAATGTGCGTGAGGGTTATTCGATTTCTATATAGGGCACTAGGCAAAGTGCTGGAAAAAACACCAACCAAAGAAAATGACTGACTGTAATTTCTTTTTCTTGAGCACGAACAAACTTTGAAATGAATCCTTAAAAAAAATAAAAATGAAACAACCACAAGCTGCTTCAAAGGGAAGCGGATGGTGTCCAGTTCACCTATAAGGTCTACTTTCATAAACACAAAAGCACGGTTGTCAAACTCAAGGCCCGGGTTCCAGATCCGGCCTCTCCCAAAATATATATTTTTTTATATGTAATAAATAAGAGACATATTGTAAGTGTCAAACTCAAGGCCTGGGGTCCAGATCCGGCCTCTACCAAAATATTTTTTTTTATATGTAATAAATAAGAGACATATTGTAAGCATTTTCTTATAACCAAAGTGCTCATTACAGTAACTTAAACAATAGTTACGTTCCAATGAACCATGATTATTGACTTTTTAAATTTGGTTTCGGTCATAAGGGCCCGCCAAGGGAAACGGTAACTGAAATGTGGTGCACGACAAAAATGAGTTTGACACCCCTGCACTAAAAAGAGAGTGATCTGTTTTTTTGGCAGGGCCAACACCGGTACTGATTAGTCATCATGGAGGCTAATAACCAATTTTTGGAGACCATATCAGCAAATTCTAATGAAAAATGGCTTAGTGTCACAAACCGTATTTTTGACGCTGATCAAAAAAATAAATAAATAATCTTTTTTTTTTTCCTTAGCGGATCAACCATTTTGAGATATTTATATTTATTTAGTATTTTGAAGTTGGACCTATGAACGCTTACGATGAGGCCAAGTAATAATGATCTACAAGCTGTCGAGTCAGGTAGCGGTTGTTGTTTAGTTGGAACTTTTTTTTTTTTTTTGGTGCAGTCACTGCAGTCTGGCCTGCAATGGAAGGGAAAAAGTGCTCTGTCAAATCTGCTGCACTTCAAATTTGACTATTGTGAGGAGAGGGGGAATCGAGAATTGGAAACATACCCTTTTGGACTTCTGGTGGCTGGGTGCAACACTGGGCCACCCGAACCTGCCTTGTATTTTGGCCTTGCTCGAAAAGTCAGAGATCACTTCAACAAATGCTGTCACATGTTAAATATGATTGCTTTGTCAAGCTACTTCAGGTCAAGCAATAATATGTGCTGCTTGGTCGGGTAGCGTCTGGTCAATGGTGTTAAGTTTGCAATTTTTGGGGGGTGGGGCGGGGGCCGGCACATTCATTTAGCTTTTATAAACACAGAGTGAATGGTTCAGAGAGTCGAAACTGCCTGCTCGGTTAGCGGTGGCTAACATGAGAAGCAACTCTGAGCAAAATCTGCCTGTTCGGGTCGCGGTTGGTGTTTATTACGGGGATTTTGAACGTGACACAAATACTGTTGGTGCCTCAGTGATGCCTCATACGTTTGTTTTGTGTCCTTGCAGCTCGCCGCTGAGGCAACCTTCCTCGACGGCCAAGGTGTGCCTAGTGTGCGGGGACGAAGCGTCGGGCTGCCATTACGGCGTGGTGACGTGTGGCAGCTGCAAAGTCTTCTTCAAAAGAGCCGTGGAAGGTAGGACGCCCAACTTGTACTATCCAGAAAAAGCGGGTGCATCAACTTTGTCGGGTTGTTGAAAGATGGAAGAGGGAAAACTGAACAGAAAGTTGGCCATTTTGGCAGGGCCGAATTCTATGAAAAACAAGCTGAAAGGAAAAAAAAGATTAACAAACTCCAGACACAAGTTTCATGGAGCGATTCGAAAACGAGTGCACATGTCATTTCAGGCCCTCATAAATTTTGTGTGTAATTCCCAGAGCGATTCGAAAATGAGTGCACATGTCTAACATCATTTCAGGCCCTCATAAATTTTGTGTGTAATTCCACTTTCAGCCACTAAATGGCGGGCCACACAAAATGATATGGAGGGCCAGATCTGGCCTCCGGGCCTTGAGTTTGACACCCGTGATGGAGTTTATTTATTATTATTTTTTTGCTTACATCATCTAATGTAGACAATAAAATTAATATAAAACAATTTAAAGGGACCGCCGTCAAAAAGAGGGGTGAGAGGGCAGGTTTAATTGGTTCGCTTCAGGGGTTATTTTTACATTTGCTGAATGAAAACCAGACCGAGTGGTGCAGTCAGCCGCCTCGACGCGCCTCCGGGTGCTCTGCTGACAATTTCAACAAGAGCCATTGCGCACTTTCCAAATCAAATGCCGATTTCAGGCTGGCCATGTTGACACACCGTCGCTAGGGAGACCGACCGAACGTCCTACGCCTCACGTCGTCTCGTCCGTCCTAAAATAACATCAACAAAAAGATTGCTCGGAGTTTCTCGACGGCGCAAACACCTGCCGCTGCGGGCCGCCGCCGCGGCATAATGAGGGCAGCCCGTGACGCCGCCAAGGTTGCCGGGCAATCGCAACTCGGCTGACCCCCCGCTCCCGTCATCTCCGCTCCAAAGTGTAAAAGAGAGAGGAAGGGACGCAACGAGGCGAGGAGAGACAGAGGACGGCGATGCAGCGGGGAGGAAGGACAAAGAAAAAGTCAGACAGATAACGAGATGGGGGGAATTGAGAAGGATGGGAAGCAATGCGTCAGCAGCATGACCCCCCCCCACCCCCGCCCCCATCCCCGTCCCCGCCTACCCTTTTTTTATTGCATGATTTCCTTCTCTGAGTGGGCAATGGAGAGGAACAGCAGAGAGCGGGCATCCGTACAAGGGGAAAAGAGAAGAGCCTGACCCCCATTCGGATTTCTTTGGGCACTTCCTGCCTAGAGGGAGCGCCAACGTTTGGGCTGCTAACTGGCTCATTGCTGCAAAAGTAATTAGCATTCAAGGGTTGGAACCCAGCGACAGTGGAGGGTAAAACGACGAAAGCGGTGCTCATTCTTGTCGTTCGGGTAAACTGGAGCGGACCCAAGCACGTTTGCGGGGGGGGGTTCGAAATGATCATCAAACTTTAACGCCACATGCGAGAGCTTGGTTTTTCCCGACTGCGGCCAAGTGGGACCGTGCTAACGCTTTCTCCTGATTGGCTGACAGATTTAGCCATTTCCTGGTTTTCAAGACAGCTTAACAGGCAGAACCAGTCGCCGGTGCCGCCAAGTCATAAAAATCTCGTATATACAGTACACATATTTTACAACACTCATGCATATTTCCCCGTGAGCTGGATGAAGTGGCTGGGGGAGGGACACTTCTGGGATTCCGTGCCCGTGACGCTACGCCAGCAACCCGACCTGACCCGGACTCCGGATAAGCAGAATAAAATTCACAGAAGGTTGGAGTACGTCAATGTATGAGCTGCTTCAACCCAAAATGGCTGACTTCCGATTCGAAATTGGGCTTAATAAACGACAACGCTGCCGCCCGCCTTCTCACCCCCGCCCTTCAAAACCTCCACTGGCTCCCCGTTCCCCCAGCGCATTCAATTTAAACTTCTCCTACTCACCTCCAAAGCCCTTCACAATCAGGCCTCCCCTCCTCCCTCCTCCACCCAGACACTCCTTCCCGCACCCTCCGCTGCTGAAATGCAAACCTCCTTGCCGTCCCCCATAACGATTGAGCATTCTCAAAACCCTCGACCTCAACGCATCCGCAACTGTACTTTTCTTTTATGACTTATTATTATTATTAAAGTCACACCGTCGCTAACGAACGGCGTAAGCGGCCAAGCACTCCTCTGTTGAGTTTTTTTTTTTTTTTTTTTGAATAATACATAACAGCTGCGCTTGATAAACAGCTCCATGCGCCCCGGCGCATCGGCGTAGGGACGCCAGCGCATTATTCACATGTCATCAGCGGCTTGGCGCGTCGGCGCTGCGTAATAATATTCCCCTTTTAGCTCGCCTTTGCTCGTGTTTGCCAGTCACTCTCATTGAAGCGCAAAGATTTACGAACGGCAGCAACTCGCCGCCTTGCTCAAAAACGACGGCGCTTGCCAGTGCGCTTACGTCTCGCACTGGCGAAAAAGAGAGGTCAGGCGAGGACGCCGGCTTGCGCTCTCGGGGCGTCCAATCACTTTTTGTTTTTTTTCCAGCTCGGGACGGGGCCTCCCACAGAACTGAATGGCTCAGGTTGTGTGTGTGCGTCTGTGCGCATGTGTGTGTGTGTGGGTGTGTGAGGGTGGGGGGTTATGTAACAACAGCTGGAGCGCAGCCACCTCGCCAACACGTCTAGCAACATACAAGTCGTAATCGCAAAGGCTCCAGACGTTCTCAGACGCGTGTTCAGACAAGTACGTGTGTGTGTGTGTGTGTGTGTGTGTGTGTATGTGTGTGTGTGTGTGAGTGCAGGAGTAACGCTACTGTAAGCGTGCGTGTGACCCACATTGTCGAAGGTATTTAGGTTAGAGACGCAGCGATGTGCAGCCTAGAAAATATGCAGTAAGCATGTTCAGCTCCGGGGCTCCCTCGACACTCAAGAAGCTACGCTAACATGCTAAATGGCTTTAAAAAAAGCCTTAAAAAGACACTTATTCAGACGATAAAAAGAAACAACAACTCATTATTGGAGCCATTATTTCCCGCGGGGTTGGAAAAATGCCAAATGTGCAGAGTAAGCATCGGACCGTGCACAACAAACACAAGTTAGACAACGAAATCTTTTTATCAGTGATTTGGGCGCTCGCCGCGAACAATTCCATCGCACGGGTTTTGTTTGCTTCAGTTGCTGATGCGCAGCCATCACAGACAGGTTGGACAAAGCGATTTGTATTGTTTTGCCATGAAAGGTTGATTAAATGTGTTAATCCATCGTCAGGTTGACGTGGATTTTAGCACATGCATGGCGACTTCTTTGCCTTCATGGAAGCGGCGGCGCTGAATGGCCTTTGCTAGTACACTGAAGAGTAGGGGGAGGGGGGGGGCAGGCGCTTGTTGTTTCCTCAAGGCTTTAAAATGTTACTGTCTTTAGAAATGAATTGTCAGCTTGGCTTTACTTCAAAAAAAGTCTGTGTGTGTGTGTGTGTATGTGCGTGTGTGCTGTTTTTTTAAGAGAGTGTTTCCCTTGCACAATGATGTAACAGGATGCAGCAAGACACCAGAGTGAGTAATTACCAAGCGTAACATTACATAAACCCTCAAATAAATACATGCTGAATATATTTTCTGGATGCACAAATCCTAAAAAAATATATATATTCATAAATAATACAGCCATTCGCAAATAATAAAAAATACATTCTTACATTTTTACCAGACTTTTTTCACTTTTTAAAAACATTTCAAGTGTGTTTTTGCAAAAATGTAGTCCGGCTTGAAAGAAGACAAGAGATATTTGTCACATATGCTAAGCAGCCAGTACTTGCCAGAAATTCCTGCGTTTCTTTCAGTATTGTTGTTACTTGGTGCGGAAGCTCTTTGCGGACCATAGCTTGCGCTCTGATAAATGAGGACAAAAATGTCAGGAAAAGCCGACTAGAACATCTGAGCCTGACATGGTACTTATTAATCAGGCATTTTTAATGGCATCAGGTGTGTGTTGACTTCCAGTTAACATGAGTTTGAGTGCATTTGGTTGATCCTCGGTTATGAGGGTGTGCACACTTGGGCGATCACATTATCATCCGGTTTCATTTTGACGCTCCCACTCACATGTTCTAGGTGACGTAAATGATGCGAAAAGTTTCGAAATGATTTCTCATTTTATGATATTACAAAAATTTCAACAGGGGTGTGTAGACTTTTTATATCCATTGCGATCATGTGGCTTTGCTGCAGTGTTCAAGCATCTGTGATACAAAATTAATGGTGTTTGCTCTTTGACTGTCAAGGCAGTGCAGTGTGTACTTTGATTAGGGCCCGTCCGATTAATCGGCAAACCAATATTGCTTTTAAAATCTGGCATGTCCATTTATTATTTTTTATTTATTTATTTTTTTTACACACTAACGTGTGACTTCAAGTTGGTGCCGTGAGAATGGCTGTCTTTACAGCAGCTCCTCTACATTTTGTTCGTTCTTTTTTCCTTTCATAACTTTGCTGCTGTAAATTGGGAATTTCTCCATTCTGAGACGAATAAAGGTATACTTTTCTTATCTTGACAACATAAGGCAAAATTTATGACATTCAACCACTCCACCCAAAAAAAAAAAAAAAAAACCCACACAGATTTTTCTCTGCTAAGTTCAACACTAAAGTATAAAATATCGTATAACAGTCACATTTTCTGCTTGTAATTCATATCGTCGTCGTGGGCATTTTCAAATGAATCGGCCAATTAATCGGGTATCAGAATTTTAATCTGCTGTAGATCGAAATTGACCTAAAAATAAATAAAGAAATGAATCTAATCGGTCTGGCCCTCATTATTGTATAGATTGATGCTCAGTGACATTCCAGTCAGTCTTGCATCCATCTGACGGTGCATGCACATTTACTGACTTCTGCCCACGTGTCAACTTCACAATCATTAACCCAACTCGGGGGAATGAGCCCAACGGTCAAGAGTTGCAACGGTGTTTGTGTGAGTGAGTTTGTGTTGTGCATCGAAAGAGTGGGGGGGTGCAGGGGGGTGGTCTTGGGTCCACTGGCTGCTCCTGCCTGCTATGTGTTTCCTGTGTCGCAGTTTACTGCTTTTTAGAGCGGGAAAAATGTGCTTATGTAACGGTCATGTGACTTTGCCAGAAATAGTGAAGCGGGGCTACAGCTGCTGCCTCTCCTCATGCAGCTCGCCTCCTTGGCTTTTGGCACAAAAATGCAATGGACGCCAGGACGTACAAAAAGCGCACATGAAAACAACTCCAAAAGCATGAAGACACACACACACACACACACACACACACACACACACACACACACACACACACACACACACACACACACACACAAGCTCATTATGTAGAGCGAGGTCATGCACTGGGCTCGCAGGGGTCTCTGTGTGTGTGTGTGTGTGTGTGTGTGTGTGTGTTGGGGATGCCAGATACAAGGATTGCAGTGTGTGTGTGTTTTTTTTCAAATTGCCAAGTGGAGCGGCATGGACTGCGTGTGTGTGTGTGTGTGTGTGTGTGTGTGTGTGTGTGTGTGTGTGTGTGTGTGTCGGCGTATGGCGCTCCGAGTTTCAAGAAGGGAAGGATGGATGGATAAATGGAAGAGGAGGAAGAGGAAAAGGAGGAAGCCGACCGGCTGTATCCGAGGGCGAGTCGCGGGGCTCGTTAGCATCTCTGTCGCGCCTGCCTGCTCCTTGGAGACACTTCTCGAAGCCAACATGCGTCGTTCAGTAGTATTCTGCTTTCATTTTGGAAGGTGTCGACTTCCTGTTTCGTGCTGCTTTTCTCGACTGGCACGGCGTATTTCCAAGTCTTGTTTCTTTGTGCTCGGTGAAGATGGAAACGTAGTATGCTAGCTAGCGACTTGGGAGGGAGCGGATTATTCCAGAATTGGACCACAAAGAATTCAATGCCGCTGTTTTCATTTTGCAAAAGAGCGATTTCAATGTTTTATGGCTGCAATGAAGTCTGCGGGATGTATATCTTGGTGATTTATATCCATATGGCAGTGACTCTTCTTGATCGTTAATCATGGTTTTCCTCAGGATTTTGAACCGTTGCCAAATCTCATGATTTTGATGCCGCATAATGACACTTTGTCCATCTGACGTCATCGTTGTCTGTTTCAAAGGTGGATCAACAATAACTCCAATTTGGTGAAAAAGCTCATCCCTCATGATTTTGGGGGGGGGGGGGGACTTCCCCCCAAAATATTAAAACAATCTTGGAAAAAAAGAATGTGTGAACCCGCAAGTGCCCACCCGCAAGTATGCTGGGGTCGTCCAAGCATCAGTCAAATCGATTGTCAGTATTTCATGAAAGTTGATAAATAACTCAGAAATGTCAGCTTTTCATTGGACAAATCACAACAAACGTGCCCTCTGCTGGTTCATGTGGAGCGAGCACGGCACTACTTTGCCCCCCAAAAGTCGAATCATACACTGACTTTCGTCATTTGTTTCCTAGGCCAGCACAACTACCTTTGCGCCGGGAGGAACGACTGCATCATCGACAAGATCCGACGGAAAAACTGCCCGGCGTGCCGCGTGCGCAAGTGCCTCCAGGCCGGGATGAACCTCGGAGGTGAGGACTCGAAGTACCGTAGCTATGATGCTAATGCAAGCAAACACCCATTCCTATCATTGAAAAACGAACCTATTGCTGTCACCGATCGGTAATCAAGACTCACCCACCCCTAAGACTTGCGTGTGGTGCACCGCAAGGTTCAATCTTAGGTCCGATTTTAGTTCCCATTTACATGCTGCCTCTTGACCAAATACCTGAGTGCCACAAAGTCTCCTTTTGACTGTGCAGATAAAACACATTTATACTTTCAAACGACACTATTAGCTGCTGAAAAAGAACGCCTTTATGACATCAGTTGGTGGAGCCACACCCAAATTTTTCCAACTCAGCAAGTGGAAATAATTCTCTTCAGCGGACGAAAGGCAACCAAAATAGTTACATCCGCCAAATATTGAGGAGTCTTTTTTTTTTTTTAATTCAGATTTCATCTTCACAGCTCACATCAAGGATCGTGATTAGCGTAATTGTCTCGCTCTTCATTCATGCAGACTGCTCACCACGTACACCACCACCCTCACTCGAAGAAGTTTGATGAAACTCTTGATTCCCAAAGCCCGCACTATTGATTTATTTTTTTGCTCGGTCATCTTCGCTAACTGCGGCTAACGCTGCGCTCCTTCCGACAGCTCGTAAATCCAAGAAGTTGGGCAAGTTAAAGGGCGTCGGCGACGACCTGCAATCAACCAAGGAGAGCCAGCCGGCGGCCGGCGTGGACTTCCTGTCGTCGGAGAAGGAGCTTAACGCCAACGCCGCCAGCGCTGCCTTGATGCCCCGCGGGGCCAGCGTGGTCACACCTTTCCTGCCGCCGTCCATCTGCAGCGTGCTGGAGCTCATCGAGCCCGAAGAGGTGTACTCGGGCTTCGATAACACGCAGCCCGACACCACCGACCACCTGCTGTCCAGCCTCAACTGCCTGGCCGGCAAGCAGATGGTGCGCATGGTCAAGTGGGCCAAAGTACTTCCAGGTTAGTGCGGACGGACGGACGGGTGGCCTCGATGCTATTTTGGGCTTAGCTTTTTTTTTTTCTTCTTTTTTTCATTTGAATAGAACGACATTTGGAGCAATAACGTTGAATTGAACAGTGCATTCAAATACGAACAACAATCACGGTGATGAATGAAATACGACGTAGTGCTATAAAGTAAAAATTTAACGTCCTGATTCCTGGAAAAAAATTTTAAAAAACGGAGAAACATTTCTGATTGGACAGTATTTCGTAAATTGTGATTTTAGTTTCGCACGTTGAACCTTCCACTTTCTATGAAATGTCAGTCCACAGAGCCTCTTGTAATGCAATTGCACGTTTTAATGAAGACGATATTCATGCCCGCGCTCGCTCGCGTTGTCTGCAGGGCTTCCCGCTTTTCTTTCCTTTCAGGCCCGGAAACGGTTTGGCAAATCTTGCAATGAGATTAGCGACGGAATCCTATTTGAGCGTTAAATAGAAATGTGGACTTAGAAGAGTGAAGGCATTTACGTGGCGGCTCTGGCCAGATGTTGCCTCTGATGCGTCTCATTAAAGTGCAGTTAGATGAGATAAGGATGTTCCGTCTGTGAATATCAACCGGTTAGCTTCAAAGTCAGAGGCCTATTAAATCCCATCCTGTTACGTTGCCTGTCAAGTTGCCCCATGAAGAAAGAAAAAAAAAAGGGAAAGAAAAATCAAGCTTTGATTTTAATGTACAAAATGATTGGGATAAAAATCCTTCTCTTTTTGAATTAGCCAGTTTTTTTAAAAAATGGTTTTTGGGGGGTTTATTGTGAGTCAAATGAAATGATTTTTTTTTTTTTAAACGAATCTTTTATATAAAACCTGAACCGGCCTTGTTTTGTCATTTTATTTAAATATAATAAGAATATAAAATAATCCTAATAATATATCATATTTTTTCTTAATTTGTGTGATTTTGACACTCTTTTTTAACGATAGCAAAGTAAAAAGTAAAGTAATTGTGAGTCAAATTACCCGGTACCTTATTTTTAAAACTTAAAAATTAGTTATGCCTCTTTATTTAAATACATATTTAAAATTTATTTTTAAAATATTATTTTTTTAATTATGGCTGTACTGTGACATGATTTTTCAGGTCAAATTGTCTTTTTGCACATTTTTTTCTCATGTTAAAGCTTATGCTAGCCTTGTTCTTTTTATTACATATTTGATTTGTCAAATTTGAGTTACAAGTGTGCTCAGGGAACCAACTGAACTCGTACGTCGAGGCAGCGGCCGATCGCATGACGGAATTCGAGCGACGTGTTTCGGAATGAGCGCGGCGACATCCCCCCCGTGGACGCAAATAGTCCCAACGCCCGGCGGATAAGTCACTCGTCTGTCCTCAGTTGGCTTTTTTTGGGGGGTGGGGGTGGTGTTGTTATGTGGAGCACCTCGCCAGGCATTGATTGAGAGTTTGGCAGCGTTCCCGTTCAGGCGTCTATTTCTGGAGGCCCTCGCAAAGGCATCATAACCAGAATCCTCAATGGGATTTTGCATGTTAGCCGCAGAAGCGGCGTTACCCTCTGACGTGCACATTGCAAATAAATCGTAGCGATAATGCGACACTCGGGAAAAGATATGCGGCCCGCTCTGGGAAACTGCTGAAAACGCGATTTGTTTCGTTTGTTTACAACCGTCAGCAGACTTTGGTGAGGAATGTCGCCGTCCGGAGAAAAGCACGGGCTTCCAAATTGTAATTTTTGTATGATCAGAAACAGTTGATGGTTATCTGAAAAATAAAAAAATTGTTGCGTCTAGAGGCGCATTGATTAATCGACAACTAAACAATTATCACATGATCCAGTCATGGCATTTCAGCCTCTGAAGAATGAAAATTCTCCGATTTCTGTTGTCCTCCATGCCGTTTTTTTTTTGAATCAAAGGATGGAAATTAAAATATGCTTTTCTTCTTCCTTTGTGTTTTTTTTACCGATTCATCGATTAACCGCCCAAATAATCGACACGGCTGATGAATCAATTACGAACAATTTGTATCCGAACGTATGACCCAACACCGAAAAGCACCGCCGCGCCTTTGTTGTTGTGTCGAGATTGAATTTGTTTGTTCTTCCTCAAGGTTTTCGGGGCCTGCCCATCGAGGACCAAATTACGTTGATCCAGTACTCGTGGATGTGCCTGTCCTCGTTTTGTCTCGGCTGGCGCTCCTACAAACACACCAACGGACAGCTGCTCTACTTCGCCCCTGACCTCATATTCAACGAGTAAGTCCACACACACACGTACGCAAAAAAAAAACCCCAAAAACAAACCAAAAAAAACCATTTGTGGCATACCACATTGAAATCAACTCCCAAAGAAATTGGGGGTGAGGAGTTAAATTTTAGCCCGCCCATACTCTTTACATATTTTTAATCCACTTTTCAAACACACCAAAAATATTTCAAGTATTATGTGAGTAGAAAATACCATATATATTATTGTGCAAGGGCATCTAGCTCTCCTTTCCCACCAGTGATGGCATTACAGTAAGCTACAGTGAACCTCTCGATTTTTTGTATCATCTCTCAATAATTATTGCCCCCCCCCCCAAAAAAGTTTAATTGCAACATGGATGCCACAAGATGGCGTCAAAGCACTGCTTATTTGGAACTTAAACTCCCCAATTCATTTGAACAAGCTTTGTTGACACCAACACCGAGAACCACCAAATTTCATACACAAAACAGCAAAGAGGTCATTTTGTGAATGCCAAACTGCAAATAGGCAGTGCTTTGTGTACATTTCAAACACTTGAAATCGGCGATTCTCAAAGTGTGGTTCAAGGACACCGAGTGGTACTCGATCGACTCAATCAATTAAATGTTTAAATTGTGCGTAACGTTACAGTGGCTTCAACATACATAAATACAGTACAGTTCAGTTGTATTTCACTTTTTCGTACGATGTTTATTGAGATCAACATTTTATTGAACTTTTATGGGAAATACTTTTCAACTTAATTGAAGTATTTATTTTCATTTTTAGAAGCACGGTGTTAATGTTCAGACAACATCACTAGCTGACAATAATATTAAGTGTCTCCTTTTCACAAATAAATGGCTAGTTTTTGGATAAACACTTGGGCCTATTATACTACTGTCTCACTCATTTTGGTGGTACCTGCAGAGTTAACTTTTTTTTTTTAAGTCGGTATTTGCCTTAACCCTTTTAGGGAGAGCGGTTACAACAGTGGACAGCTTTTCAGGTTATCATTATTTGTGCATGAAAGGGTTAAATAATGAACAATATGGGCCGAGTGAGAACAATGAACGCCGAGTTCGGCAAAATCGAAGGTTTTAGAAGAAATATCACCGGTAGGATTTGCCCACAAAACACAGTAAATATACACGGACGGCTCAAGCAGGATGGGACGTTTGTCCCCCCTTTAAAAAGGAATTCTGATGTCACGCTTGGCCGGGGAAGAAAAAAAAATCTAATTGTTTCTTCAGCTGGACGCCGACTTGTGTCAGTTGCCCGAGCGCGAACGTCAGGATGAGTGCTTCTTCCAGCCGAGGGAAAAGAATTTTGAGACAAGTACAAACAATTTGGAGAGAAAATAAAGAGCAGCGAAAACCGGCAGCAGCAGCAGTGGCTCGTTTTAGACAGTGAGCAAGCAAGAAAACAGCTGGGGAGAATATGCGCAGCTACACTCAGCACAAAGATCACATTTTATTCTGTTGTGGTCGGCATGTTCGTGTTATGACCTGACATTCTGTATGTTGTAGTGACATGACATCAGATGTCATTGCCTTACGTTCGATTTATTTTACATTACCGTATTTTCCTCACTATAAAGCGCACCTAAAATCATTCCATTTCCTAAGTGCGCCTCATAATCCGATGCGCCATATCCATAGATCAATATTCAGATTTCTTGGACGTGGTATTTGAAATGTTCTGTAATGCGCTTTGTTACATTACAACTGCAGCGGTTGTGAAGGCTCTGTATAAATAAAGCTGGATTGTATTTTATTCCCTTTAGCGTAGCTCCATCTAGTGGATGCATAACGCAACCTAAGCCATTGTCGTAGCTTCTATTCTGTGCGCCTTATAATGCGGTGCGCCCGATATATGAAAACAGTTTTAAAATAGGGAATTCATTGAAGGTGTGCCTTATAATCCGAAGGGCCTTACCGTAAATACGCTATGTTAAATGTACATTACGTGAACAATATGCTAATTAGATATACAGTCAACTATGTTACGTTCGATGAACTTACAGTCGATAGACATGGCATTAAATGCAATATTATTTTATTAGATGGTCTTAAATGATGCGACGGCACATAAATCCAACATGTCCATAAATGAATACAATATAGTCGAGCCTCATTAGAACGTACCTCGAGGGACATAAGAGTAGTTCGTCGTAACCATTTCCAATAGTGTACGCCAACGACGATGTATAATACAGTGTGAACGTTTATAGGTGGAAAAACATGAACATGTATGACAGTGTAAACACGTCAATTACAAATACGCGTATATAAAGAAAAAAGGTTTTATAAGCCAAACGATTGTCGCGTTCCCACTTCACAACTGAAAACATTCAGTCAGCAAATGTTAGTCGCCATCGGCAACTAACTGCCAGTGCCGCCCGCGAAGCCAAGTGTCATCAGTTTAGGATGCGCCGCACCCCGAAGCCGTTTACGATCGATCATCTTTCCGTCTGTTAGCCTCAAACTCTGCCATGATTTTGTCGCCACTACGGATGATTGTCGGAATCGGCGACTTTGCCAATCGGTAGTTTCGGCGGAGCTTCGTCTGGGAGAGTCCTCGTTCGAAAGTGAGAGATCAATTCAGCTTTCACCGAGAGCGAGATTCGCTTCCGTTTTTGCGCCGTGCCTGCGCAAGTACAGCAATGCGGCTCGTTATAATGAAGTTTACCTTGTAAGCAAAATCAACAAATGGAAAACGAATGATGTGAAATTGGGATTTTGAAATGCGAACATGATAGCGTTGAAACGAGGTTCGACTGTATTGTTTCAACGCAAGTAATATAACTTACATTCTGTCGCCGAAATGTTTGACGTTATTTTACATGAAATTGCATGATTTTAGGTGACCATTTTATCTCTTACTCTGCCGCATCTTCGATATGCACATGCAATGCAAAATATACAAACGAGGTGCAGGCGTTATTTCTGTTCATTTGGGGTCACCATGCTCGAGTTCCGAAATGTGACTTTGAAGGTGTGTGGCTTTAAAAGGCGTGGCCTGGCCTGCCCCTGCTGAGTCACATCAGCGAATGAGAAATCCAGTTGTAGCCTAAGCAGCGACGCCGTGAATGAGATTTTTGTGTTTGAGTTTGTTTTGTTGACAAGTCACTGTGCTTCCATGAGGCGCAAACGAGAAATTTTGCCTCACAAACTGTTTCGAGGCCCAGGGGAGGTTTCTTCCTACGCTCGATATCTTTGCGAACAATACTTTCAACGATAAAAGAGTGCTTCCTTTGTCTCCGTGCCGCCACATTAACGATATCCTTCCTGGACCCCATTTTCCAGGGACCGGATGCAGCAGTCTGCCATGTACAGCCTTTGCCTGGGCATGAGGCAGGTGAGCCAGGAGTTTGTTCGGCTGCAGCTCACCTACAACGAGTTCCTCTCCATGAAAGTCCTGCTGCTTCTCAGCACAAGTAAGAAGCTACGAGCCCGTGTACAAAAAAAAAAAAAAAGACACCTGGTCACTATATTATCGGAAGGCTGTAATGTGACTTTTTTTTTCCCTCCCCCATCATTCACTCTCTACAGACGGTCACTATTCACACCCGTCAGTG